GGGATGCACCGATACCGATACTAGTATCAGAGTCGGTGGGTGCTGATACCGAGTATTTCGGGGAGTACTTGTACTCGCCCAAATGCTCAGATACCTTCCCTGATACCAGGACTTCCAGTCAGAGGAAAGTGCCGTAGGGGAACATGGAGCCGGCTTCCTGGCCAATCAGGAAGCCGGGAGGTTAGTCATTACTCGCTTCCTGATTGCCCGGGAAGCCGGCTCCATGCTGATTGGCTGGGAAGCAGGTTTCCCGGCCAATTAGCATCGAGCCGGCCAGTCATTTTGATGTCACCGCCTCTGAAAAGTCGGGCACTGGGTCATGGACCGAGAGCTCGACAGTTGCTTGCGAGAGAGAGTAGGGGACCCGGCGACATGCCTTGTCCCGACGGGTGAAGGGTAACCATCCCCTACTCTCTCCGCCAGCAACCATCACCAAGATAACAGCGGTATCACAACGTGCGTGCATGATGACGTCACGGCAGGGTGTCACCTGGTACCCGCACTGGGTGTCACCCCGCCTCGGGACACCTCTGCACTAAAAGTCTGATTCTTTTAGACAAAGTTGTATCTTTATCATTCAAATGCCATCCTTGAGCTGCAGTGCACTGACTTTGCCTGGGCTCAGGTGATGTCATCAGCCAGCTGCAGACAGGTAGAAGCAGGGCTGTCCCTCAGCGGGGCGGGCTTCCGATGATCGCAAGTACGATCTGCCCGTCCAAGGTGGGCAGATCGTACGGGCTTTTAATGAGCATACGACCATCACAAGACAAAAGTCTTGCGATGGTCGTAAGGTGTATGGGCACCTTAAGTGGGCCAGGAGAAGAGGGGAGCGGCAGCCGGCTGAGCTGTCAGTTAGAAGGGTGGATGCTGTTAGTGTCAGCCGTGCAATCGCCAACAATTTTTACGCAGCGCTTTACATAGTTGCACATTCACATCAGTCCTCGAGGAACTTACAGTCTAAGGTCCACATCTCACAAGAATACATACAGGACCAATTTAGACAGAAGCCAACCAATTGCCCTTCCAGCATGTCTTTGGAGTGTGGGAGGAAACCAGAGGAACCCCACACAAGCACAGGGGCACGGGGAGAACATGCAAACTCCTATGGCACCTGTTACACAAGGGTATGTACACTGTACTATGTGCTACGTCACAGGTGAAGTGCAAAACCCAGCGTGCCCCACTATAGGTAATCATAGAGAGACGCAGGACTGTTTAGCTTGCACCGTATGGGATACCATTGTACCCAGGGGTGTAACTAGAAATCACAGGGCCCCGTAGCAGAATTTTGTATGGGGCCCTGTGATTTCTAGCTAGGCCCCTTGCAGAGCCCACCTGAGATCCTACACAGCCCACCTGAGAGTGACCCCGCAGAGCCCACCATAGACTCTCTATAGTGGGCTCTGCAGGGTCTCAGGTAGGCTGGTCACACCCCCGCAAATGTCTTACCTGTCAGCCTTCTCCACCGCCGGGCCTCATCTCTTCCTCAGTCGCCGGCTGGCTCCACCTCCCCACCGTCGCCGGGCCTGGCCTCTTCCACCGCTGCTGGGCCCCGCCTCCTCCTCCGCCGCCGGGCCCCAGCCTCCGCCACCGCAGCTGCTGGCTGTCACCTACTCAGCAGCGGCTGTGAGGAGGAACAGGTTGTCAATGATCTGGAGAGCGGTGCATTCCTCTTCACGGCCAGCAGCCCTCGATGCCTTTACGACCCGCATGGCTTCAGGGGGACCCCTTTGTTCCTCGTCCTGGCCGGGCCCCCCTGTGCCCCAGGCCCCATAGCAGCCACCTGGGTCGCTATGGCGATAGTTACGCCACTGATTGTACCAAACTTTCCTGGGTGTTCCATGTGCTGCTGTAAATGGATGCTGGGAGAGTGAAATGTCTGCTGAGAATGGTTATACAGATCTTCCCATTTGGTATTTCTTTTTTTTCGGAATGATCCGTCTCAGAATCTACAGAAGCAAGGAAGGGCAATGGAGCTTGTTAGAATCCTTGTTAAAGGAGAACTATGGGGTCAGGGCTTTTCCACATAGTTCTCCTAAGGCTACAGCTCGCGGTATACTGAGAAGCCGCAGCCGTGGCGGATCACCGACAATACTGTCTGGATCCACCCAGCTGCGTGAGTGACAGCTGGCTCTGCCCTCAGCGCTGGTGGATCGGACAGGAGAGGGGGGGTGGATCCCTGCAGGGATCCGTGAGTGACAGTAACGGCACTCTGCAGGGACAGGATCGAGAAGTGAGCGAGCGACGGTATGTGTTCGCTCACTTCCCGATCTACTGAGCCGACCTGTGACAGTCTCATTGTCACACGTCGGCTCGAACTATGAGGATGAGTGAAAATCACCCACCTCATAGTTCTCCTTTAAAATGATAACAAACCAACAGAAACTTTTTTTTTTTTAATCTCTGTCAGCAAAATGAAAGCCCGGCAATGCCCCATATACAAGCGCTCATCTGTGGCCGCATTATGCACACATCATAACTTGTATCCTTGACACAATGTAACAACGTAGATCACATGCTTATCTGATGCAGAGCTCCGCGTTGCATTCTATGTGCTTCTCGTTAGCAGCGGGTCCCCGTGAAATCTCCTGCAGCGGTGTCCAGACCTTGGAAGCTGAAGGTTGGGATGGGGAGGCGATGATCATAAAATGTGATCTCACTGCAAATATCGGAGAAGAAAGGAAGATTAAAAATTCATGAGCGGAGAAATAATTGCCAGGAATTTGCATGCCGGGGGAGTATGACTAGATGTGTGCGCTCTGGGCTCGCAGGCCGTCCAGAATTTTAAAGGGGGAGTTATAATGGTTTGGGGTCAATTTATTCTGTTTTGTATTTTCTTAAGGAATTCTGCACCGCCGGCAAACTTTTTTACAATGGCGCACCCCTGCCCTCCGAATCACCACAGGCATGCATTATACAGACCTCAGGTGCAGACTAGAAATCAGCTTCAATCATTCTGTTTACCACGGAGGAGGCCATGAAGTAATCTTCAGATCCCTGCTAAAAAATGATACAGCCCGCGGTACATGACTGTGATTAGTGATGCCTGTCTTTTCTTTTCCTCCCCATTCTTCTCACGGCGGCCATTTTTACTAAAGGCAAAAAAAAGATCTACTAGATCTTCCTTTACTTCCTGGAACTCTGGCACGTGTGAGTGGGACATGTGACCATGCACATCATGTGACCATGAATCCATCTCCCTTTACTTCCTGGAACTTTGGGTCAGCCTCCTGGAACATGTGACAGTGCACATCATCTGAGGCAGGGGGATGGGGGAACCTTTCTCTTGAGATCTAAAGAGCTTTTGCAGTTTACAGATGACATTTCACAGGAAGGCACTGGTGATGTGGCCTCCCCATGATGTACCTGTAAGGACAGGGCTACATCATCATCAGTGCCTCATTCAAACAGGCCAGGGCTACATCACCAGTGTCTCATTCATCCAGGCCAGGGCTACATCACCAGTGCCTCATTCAACGAGGTCAGGGCTACATCACTATTGCCTCATTCAACCAGACCAGGGTTACATTACCAGTGCTTCATTCAACCAGGCCCGGGCAACATCACCAGTGCTTCATTCAACCAGGCCTGGGCTACATCATCAGTGCCTCATTCAACGAGGTCAGGGCTACATCACTATTGCCTCATTCAACCAGACCAGGGTTACCTTACCAGTGCTTCATTCAACCAGGCCTGGGCTACATCACCAGTGCTTCATTCAACCAGGCCTGAGCTACATCATCAGTGCTTCATTCAACCAGGCCCGGGCTACATTACCAGTGCTTCATTCAGCCAGGCCTGGGCTACATCACTAGAGCCTCATTCAACCAGGCCAGGGCTACATCACCAGAGCCTCACTCAACCAGGCCAGGGCTACATCACCAGTGCCTCATTCAACCAGGCCAGTGCTACATCACCAGAGCTTCATTCAACCAGGCCAGGGCTACATCACCAGAGCCTCACTCAAATGTAAACTGCAAAGTGTAAAACTAACCTTATCAGTAGGGTTTCCTCTCCTCTTCAGTGGAAGGGCTGAGGGCTCATTTTTGACTAGAGTACCATTAAAAAGCAGGTTTACTTATCTTATGACTGGCTCCTGCAGGCGTCCTCGACATTGTTTACTGTGGATGGAGGATTTTTTTATTTCTTGTGTTCAGGTTAAATTAAAAAAATAAATATATAAGCTTGTATACCCCTCATCAATCTGTTCCTTCATCTTCCCTCAGTCTGGCCTCCTATCCCCCCCTCAATTTGGCCCCTGTTTCCCCTCAGTCTGGCCCCTGTGTCCCCCCTGTGTTCCCTCAGTCTGGCCCCTGTGTCCCCCCTGTATGTCTCCTCAGTCTGGCCCCTGTTTCCCCTTAGTCTGGCCCCTGTATCCCTCCTGTGTGTCCTTGCAGTGTGACCCCTCTATCCACCTGTATGTCTCCTCAGTCTGGCCCCTGTGTGTCCCTCAGTCTAGCCCCTGTATTCCCCCTTCTTCCTGTCTCTCTGGCCCCTCTGTGTCCCCTCAGTCTAGCCCCTGTGCCCTCTCAGTCTGGCCCCTGTGCCCTCAGTCTGACCCCTGTGCCCCCTCAGTCTGGCCCCAGTGTGTCAACTCAGTGTGGCCCCAGTATCCCTCCTGTGTAATCCCTCAGTTTGGCCCCTGTGTCTCCCCTCAGTCTGGCCCCTTGTCCCCTCAGTCTGGCCCCTGTGTCTCCCCTATGTGTCCCCTCAGTCTAGCCCCTGTGTCCCCTCAGTCTAGCCCCTGTGTCCCCTCAGTCTGGCCCCTGTATCCTCCTGTGTTTCCCCTATGTCCCCAGCAGGGGGCGGTGGCGCTCCGGTCCCTCCTCAGTGTCTGGCAGTGATTCTCCGCCCCCCTCCCCCTCTCAGCTCACTTTCTCCGGGACTCCGGCACATTCAGAGAACCGCCCGAGCTCGGAGTATCCCCGGGTGTCCCGCACAATCTTCCCGGCTCGGTCCCGGGCTCCATCCCCCCCTCTGTCCGGCGGTCTGATGTCCGGTGGCGATGGGGGGCTCCGCTCTGTGTCTTCTCTGCCTGGCCGCTCTGTGCACCGCCGGCCGGAGCGACTCCGACTTCTCCATCCTGGACGAGGCTCAGCTGCTGGCCGAACACATGAGGAGACTGGCCAGCGAGGAGCTGGGGGTGCTGACCATGCAGGTAGGTCTGGGGTGTGTACTGGGGGGGTCACCGGATACCGAGGGGGGTCACCGTCTCCTGTCTGGGGAATGTGGGGTCACCGTCTCCTGTCTGGGGAATGTGGGGTCACCGGCTCCTGTCTGGGCAAATGTGGGGTCACCGGCTTCTGTCTTGGCACTTTGGGTATTGTAGGGTGACCAGCTTCTGTCTGGGCATTGTAGGGTGACGTCTCTTGTCTGGGTCTCTGGCATTGTGGGGTGACCCGCTCATGGCTGGACATGACTTGTTTTGGGGTGACCAGCTCCTGTTGGGGCATGGCTGGTATTGTAGGGTGGCTAGCTTCTGACCTGGGGGGTGACCGGCTCTTATCCGGGTCCTTCTGCTATTGTGGAGTGACTGGCTTTTGCCTAGGTATGGCTGGCATTGCTCCTGGCAGGGAATTAGTAGAATGTTGGGGTCATTAGCTCCTGACTGAGCCTAGCTGGTACTGTGGGGTGACCTCTTCCTGTCTGTGTAATGCTGGCACTGTGTGGGGTGATAGGCGTCTGGAAGAGCACGGCTGGTGTATTGGGGTGACCTACTCCCAGATGGGTATGACTGGTGTATTGGAGTGACCTGCTACTGGAAGGGTTGCATTGGTACAGTGGGGTGCATTGCTCCCTGATGGGCACGGCTGGTGTATTGGGGCGAGCTGCCTCCAGATGGGTACGGCTGGTGTATTGGGGTGACCTGCCTCCAGATGGGTACGGCTGGTGTATTGGGGCGACCTGCCTCCAGATCTGTATGGCTGGTGTATTGGGGCGACCTGCCTCCAGATGGGTACGGCTGGTGTATTGGGGCGACCTAACTCCAGATCTGTATGGCTGGTGTATTGGGGTGACCTGCCTCCAGATGGGCACAGTGGGGTGACTGAGTTTTTTTTGAAGAGAGCTGCCATGTTTCCAATTGTTCTTCCTGCAAGAGATTTCTGCGTGTTACCAGAGACTGACATGTTAGAAGGACTTGCATGTCATTGGAGACTGATAGAGCCTGCTTCCAAGTTAAAGGAAACTACCAGAGACTGCTGAGAGGATACAACAGAAGGAGCGCTGCCACACATTGAGCACAAGGCAGTGCGCTGCATGTAAAGTAAAAACCAGTCCCTGATGCAGAACCAACTGGCACCCTTACTGAGCCACCTATTGCCTCTAACTTGCCATGTTGGGTGCCCCCTGTGCGGGTCATTCATGGCTGCCAGGTCTGCTGCAGGTGACGGATGGGTAGTATGTCTGGAATCATAGGGGGCAAAGCGAAGAAGGTTCTCCTCTCAGGGATCCCCTCTTCTTTTTTGTAACATTGTGTTTTCTTGGCATGTTCACAGAACATTGAGATCCAACATTTGCTTCCCTACATTGCTTGGCTGCCGTCATGTTGCAGTTTATTGATTTGATCACATGGCCGATGAAAGTGTCTCCGCGAGCCCCCTAAACCTTGATCATTAATGTAATCGTGCAATTCCAGCATGGAATGCGAGGGGAACGGACTTCACCTCCTCATGGCAATACGTCTGTGCAATATTGTGTTTAATATTTGGGGTGTTTTGGGATTTTTCTGCATCGTTTGTGAACCTTGAAATTCTACATTTTGCTGATCAGTTGTTTGGCTGCCATCAGGTTACATTGTTATATTGTTACATTGTATTATGTAAGTTCCTTGATGTAAGTCTCCTTTTAAGTTTCTTGTATATGTATTCATTTATGGGATTTCCTTTGATACCAAGGTGTAGATTTTGGTGGGAGGGGTTTTTCTGTTTGGAGCATTGTGGTGAATGTTGGGGGGTGGGGGCGCTTTGCAATCACAGATGTTTTCTCCATAGTGTGGTGATCCCTACTTTTTTTTAATTTGTTATGAGTTCTATAAGCAAATATTCTTTTATTGCAAATATGAATTAGATTTTTTTGAAAATGACATTGTATCTGCATTATAATTAAAAAAAAACCTGTCAAGCTGAGTTTATTGTGATAAAGACCTGCACAGTTCAACATGTGGGTTTTTTGTGGGGGAGGGGGGTCCTGACTAGCTTGTCCTGTGGGGGGAGGGGGTTGCAGGGCTGCTCTATGGTGACTGTTGTCTTGAAGGGTGTCCTGCTGGGTGATAGTGGTGGCCCCGGACCCTTCAGGCTGAATGTATTGATTGGGATCCGATCCAGGATGGAATGTCCGTGAGCTATTGCTGCAGAACCTCTTGTGATACCGACATCGATTCTTTGGCCTCGGGGCGATTGTTCACCATTATTACCAAAACTCAACATCTTTTAGGAAAATCATTTGGAATGTTCCGCTAGAAATAACTATTGTGGAGCTATGGACAGCATTAGGGCCTCATTCTCACAGGCGATTCTAAAGCCTTTTGTATACATTTTATGTTTTACTTTGTGTTTGTCAGGCTGCAGTGTTTTAACCAATAGAAACATAGTTACTAGGAGGAGGAAGTGGTTGTTAGGTGCGTAAACATGCGTTACGTGTTTTTCCAGGGACTTCCACTGAAGTTTATAGGGCCTCAACCGTGCGTAGAAACAACAATTCTTGAGCATTGGCGATGTTCTGGAAACCAGCGAGAAAACGCTCAGATGTGAATGGGGGGGAGAAGGGGGACTCCTAAAACTCCAACACAACCTATCTGGATTCTCCCCGTCTCTGCACAACAAGGATCAGCAATCCATTAAAACAGCTCTTGTGTATTCAGAGCGGCGTTCTATCCCAGGAAATGTTTCTGTATCTATTGTTACTTTGTGATTCTTCTAAGAACATCAAAAATAATTTTCTACTGTATGAAAGATTTGTTTCCTTCAAGTCCATCGTCACGCTCTGATTGTGGCCATCCTAAGCACGATAATGGCTGGTAACGGGCTTCATTCACAAAGCTCAAACACCAGCTTTAGGATCCTTCTTATTTTTAAAGAACATGTTGCAGTTATTTTCGGCATTGTCCAATGAGATTTGAAAATAACTGTCACATGGCAGAAAATAAATATCCTTATTGTGTAAAGCTTTGTGAATTGAGCTTGATGGCTTTTGTCCAAACAGTTCCAAATAAGTGTGTGTGTGTGTGTGTGTGTACGCACGCTATATTGCCAAAAGTATCAGGACGCCGGTCTTTACACGCACATGAACTTTAATGGCCCCCCCAGTCTTAGTCCGTAGGGTTCAGTATTGGGTTGGCCTGTCCTTTGCCGCTATAACAGCTTCAACTCTTCTGGGAAGGCGTCCACAAGGTTTAGGAGTGTGTCTATGGGAATGTTGGACCATTTGTGAGGTCAGGTACTGATGTTGGAGGAGAAGGCCGGGCTCGCAGTCTCCGCTCTAATTCATCCCAAAGGTGTTCTATGGGGTTGAGGTCAGGACTCTGTGCCGCCAGTCACGTTCCTCCACCCCAAACTCCCCCATCCATGTCTTTATGGACCTTGCTTTGTGCACTGGTGCGCAGTCATGTTGGAACAGGAAGGGGCCGTCCCCAAACTGTTCCCACAAAGTTTGGAGCATGAAATTGTCCAAAATGTCTTGGTATGCTGATGCCCTTAAGAGTTCCCTTCACTGGAACTAAGGGACCAATCCCAACCCCTGAAAAACAATCTATCCCCCCTCCACCAAACTTTACACTTGGCACAATGCAGTCAGGCAAGTACCGTTCTCCTGGCAACCGCCAAACCCAGACACGTCCATCGGATTGCCAGACAGAGAAGCGTGATTGGCCACTCCAGAGAACACGCCTCCACTTCTCTAGAGTCCAGTGGCGGCGTGCTTTACACCACGGCATCCCACGCTTTGCATTGCACTTGGTGATGTGCGGCTTGGATGCGGCTGCTCGGCCATGGAAACCCATTCCATGAAGCTCTCTACGCACTGTTGTTGTGCCAATCTGAAGGACACATGGAGTTTGGAGGTCTGTAGCTATTGACTCTGCAGACAGTTGGCGACTTCTGCGCACTTCAGCATGCGCTGACCCCTCTCTGTCATTTTAGTGGCCTACCACTACGTGGCTGAGTTGCTGTTGTTCCCAGTTGCTTCCACTTTATTATAATACCAGTAACAGGTGACGGCAGAATATTTAGTAGCAAGGAAATGTCACGGATGGACTTATTGCACAGGGGACAACCTATCACGGTACCACGCTTGTAGTCACTGAGCTCCTTAGAGCGACCCGTTCTCTCACCAATGTCTGTAGAAGCGTCTGCATGCCGAGGTGCGTGATTTTATACATCTGTGGCCATGGAGGTGATTGGAACACCTGATTCCAATGATTTGGAGGGATGTCCCAATACTTTTGGCAATATAGTGTATGTGTGTATGTATGTGCGAGGCGCCATCTGTGGCTATCACTATGAGCACCACTGTTAGCAAAAGTCCTGACCGCTGTAAGGAGTGCAGGGGGACACATCTGAACACTACAAAAGTTTTGGGTTGTCCCCAAAACAGAAATACATGGGAAAGTGACCACAAGGGATTTTCCTTTACTTTGGATGGAATTCCTCTCTTTCTGTTGTGGGTATCGGACAGGAAGTGAAGGGAAACCTCCCCTATGGGACATGCGTGGCAAAAAAAAAGAGCAGAGCGTGGTTATGACCCTCTTTTACTATAGTCAAAACAAAAACAAAAAATGGAGGTAATGAAGACCCCCTTCCATGTGGTAGTAAATTGTCGCAGACAAAATTCTGTCTCTGGCAATTTCGCAACAGGGTTATATTGCAGGGTTATGAATTGAAGGGCCACGCCCTGTCTTAAAGCGGACCTTTACCCCTTTTCACAAAATCACATGAGCATGCAGATCTGCATCCTGATATGAAATCATCTTACCTTTTTCATTTATTTACAAATCGAGTTAATTTACTTCCTGGTCCAGTTCTGGCACAAGTGATGTCCTGTGCCCAAGCATTGCATCCTGCGAAGTAGGGATGCACAGATACTTTTCGAGTACCAGTGCAGATACTTTTCATGAGAACTACCAGGGTTGTAGCGGTTGCAGCTGGGACCTGGATCTGGCGC